TTCTCACCCCAAATATCAATGGGTTAAAAATATTCCAAGCAGACACTGTCTCAGCTGTAACTTCTAGGCGGTTAGGCCCCAAGCGGGTAGGATATGTTATTTTATTTCGTTCGGGCGGCGTAGCCGCCCGAACCCAAGCATTACTGTCTATACATCCCACTATCCACATGGGTTATTAATGGTTATTAATTTAATGGATTATGACTTTAAATTTCGTGCACTCTTACCGAAAAGTACGTACAACGCATGCACATGTGATCACAGAGCATAAACGTGTAAGTAAAGGCCGCACAAACGTGTAACTAGTCACTTTCATCGCTGTTTTACGGGCTTCCTTTTGTGATTAGGACAAAAATGTGTAGAATCTTTTTTATAGAGAATTTCATGCTCTACAATTTTTGTTTGAAACATTTTTTTGTACGATTCGTATATTTCGAAATAAATGCAAGAAACTTAAAAAAATGTCGTTTTTCAGCTGTTTTTTCAAGATTGCGGCCAAGATACGGCCGAGCGCCAATTTCTGCTGCCATATTCGTTTTCAGGAGCCAAAAATACATCAAAAACACGTGGTCGTTTGTATGATTTCGAATATGCAGTTCATCCGAAGGTTTACCTACTAAAGTAATACTATAATGCTAGATCAATTTGTGATTCTTTTATTAAGGGAATTATGCATATCTTTATGCTCTCAAGACACAGGAAGACTCACAATAAATATAACCAAATTTAAATTCTTGCGTCATCGGTACTTGGAAAGTATCATAAATTTTTACTAGATGAGCCATTAGACCTGTTCTTTTTGGTTGAACTTTTGCACCAGTTCATCTTTCTTCTTCTTCTTTCCTCCTAAAGAGAAAAGGAAGAGAGATGAACTGGTGCAAAAGTTCAGCTAAAAAGAATAGGCCTCATAGTTATGTACTCATTTCATGATATACCGAGTGTACACATTCCATTTTTGTAATACAAAATTAGTCAAGATATGAAATTAAAAATTCTACTTTTTGCCTTGAAACTCGTGAATCATAAAAAGATCAGTCCAATTTAAAAATATCGTCGAAAATAAGAGGCTCTAATAACACACAATATAATGATCGTCGAGGCCAAGCAATCTTCTTATTGTAAATTTTCCTTCGCGCATGCGTGAAAAAAAATAAAATACAAGGTAATCGGGGATGGAAGGGACGTTCAGTTTGCAGGATCGTTCAAAAATAAGGAAGGATCAGAGCTAGGTATTTAAAATATGGAGTTGTATTAAGGTTATGGTCACGCGTGGACGCGCGATTGCACACATATTAATTTTTATTCTGCGCATGTGTCAGAATAAGAAGTGCTGATGAGGATCGAGACTATCGAAAGAAAAATTGAGTATAGCTCAGTCAATACCGATGATTCATGAATTAATGAGTGGTCACATTGCGGCTGTACTCCACAGCCAAGCTCGTATTTCTCCAAGTCTCGGGCTCCATTATATTCAAATCCGAGTTTCACTACTTTGCCGATTGCAGTACCCAATCGCGTGCATCCATTCAATAATCGACAAATAAAATTCTAATGTATTTTTTTTTACATTATTTTCTGCACAGATCACTAGCATCGTCAGTGAACAGATACTCGAATGCTCGATCGCGTTGATCGATAGGTATTTGTCAACGTATATAATAATAACGATCCCGATTAGTTAGCCATCTTACTTTCCTATCTATTTTGCAAGTGAGAGGCAACACGGTTAAATACGCAAAAACGCTCATCATTTTATTATGTTACTCAGAGTATAAAACGCTATATATATGTATATTAAACGTATATCGCTCGACTTACTTGCTCTTGAGATCCTCGTTATCGTCCCAGAGACGTTTGGTGTCGATCTCCAGTTTGGCGCGTTCCCTGGCAGTCTCGTCGAGTAGCTTCCGCGCGTCGGACAGCTCGTGTTCGTACATGGCCTTGATACTGGAGACCTCCCGGGTGACGGTCTCCTGATGGGTCTGCATCTCCCGGGTCAGATGGGAGTTCTCGGACTCCAAGCGACGCACCTTTTCGATGTAACATGCCAGACGATCGTTGAGATTCTGCAGATCCTGCTTCTCCTGTAGCCGGGAATATCGGGTTGGGCTAAGCGGACTGCCGGGTCGCCGGCCGATCGGCGTCGATGTACACGCTGGCGGCG